ACACAATGCAATCTATGCAGTGCCCACCACGGGTATCGAAACCCAATTATTAGTGTAATAAGTCCTCAGACTTACTGCTGAGCTACCAGAGGGAGTTCAAAGTCCATATACTACCTTAATAAACAACGATAAAATTCTTTTTCTCTGAGCAATAGCTCAATATTAAATGAAAAGTAACAAAATAAAATTACCATTACTTACTCCTACGGGGCCAGTTATTAATCATCGGAGCTGTTTTGTCGCTCGGATTCCCCCCCCCCCCCTCTCTCTCTCTTCCTCTAAATGCGGTTTGGAAGACGATTAGGCCGGGAAAATCTTCTTTTATTCGTATGAATATGATAGCCACACTCAGTTGTGTTCAAAATGAGAGCGAAGTATGATAATTGTCGAAAGTGAAACATAACGACTTGGATCATGAGATTCCATACATCAGTCTAACGGATTTAGGAAACTATGACACATAAGTTTATAAAGAGAAGTAAAACAAGTGAAAAAGATATATATTAAGCAGTTTAGTCGACGTTCCCAATATTAATATAATTCACTTATGTGAATCTCAAACAGATAAATGTGTGTGTTTTCTTATAGCAAAGCTACATCGGGCTATTTTCTAGGTCTACCGAGGGGAATCGAACCCCTGATTATAGTGTTGTAAATCCGAAGACTTGCCGCTGTCCCACCGGGGGACAAACAGATGAAAATGAAACAACAACTACTATACTGTGTAATGATTAGTAATCTGGAAATCTCACAAACTAGTTACACTTCCTTCATTTTCATAAACAACCGGCAATCATGTATGATAACAATTTGAATTCAGAAAGCATTCTCTGTTTCACTCATATGTTGGAAGTTAACGTGCTCATTTTGTTAATCCGAGAATTCGTGGTTCAAGACTCATTTTACTAAAATGTGCTTTGTAGCCGTTGGTGTGCTGTAAGAGTAACAGTCAAGATTAACTCAAGTGTTGGCGATGATTACTGCCTTTCCTGTAACCTACTAGTTAACAGTTAGGGAGGGCTATGCGCAGATAGCTCTTTATGCGAAACCATACGTAGTGTGTACATACATACACATATATATCTATCTATATATATATATATACTTAAGTACTGAATATATATAACAAGCTTATTGAACTTTCAAAGTGGAAAGCTTTGGAGAAGTAATTTTAACATGTCAGATTTTCTGCTAATGTAGATAAAATTTCGTAAGCGCAATTCGTTGTTATTACTTCGTGAGATACGTTTTGATTACGAGCTTAATAAATCGAACTGTTACGCTGAAAATAAACTTGCTTTTATCTGTTTCTATTGCCTTAAGAAATTGAAAGAAAAGGCTTATTCAGATTTAAATTCAAGTTACATGATTATGCACTACAAGAAATGGAAACACAGAGAATCTGAACCGTGTGAGAGAAGTAACCATAACGAAGACACTGTACGTTGCATTTTCACGAAAGTCTCTTGTTGTTTTTCCTTTATAATTTAAAATAAAAATAAACGGACAAGGAAGATATTTATTTGTTTCAGGATTGAAAAATAAAAAAAAATACAAAACTACAAATCACAGCGATTATAATAATTTTGCTAGAGAGGAAATTAAATAGCATATCGCGTGTAAAAATGCTACACACAGAGTTAATCGTAGAAGTGAAATGTATCCAACCGAAATAATTCTCTTTATTTATATTTCCTGTACTATTTATGGTCTTTTCGCTCTACTTTTCACAATTAGAGGTATAAATACTGGAATATTTTAATGTATTCTAGGCAATATTTCTTAATGTTATCGACAATATATTTAACGTTCACCAATGAAGCACATAAGTACAAACTTCTGGGTGGTTGTTTATGTTAGAGCAAAGCCACAGCATCTACCACGGGGGGTCGAATCCCGGATTTTAGCGTTGTAAGTCGCTACCAAGAGATGGTACAAGGTAAAGTTTCAGAACCAAATGCTAATGAGATAAATTTGTTGTGTTTTGTTAGCCTAGAATTAACATTTAAAATATCACAAATTTAACGATCGTTAAAGTTAATACGTAATAGAGTTATCTGGAACTGATTGAGCTTAGCGTGGATCTAAGTTTTATTTAAATTCTGAAGTCCCTTTTCAAGACCTAAAACCAAATTCACTTTACAATTTAGAAGTTTTTGAATTCGTGTTAATAAATATTTGCTAATGAATAAACCAAGCTGCTACACTTTATTTACTGCGGATTCTATGCCTTGTTCACATAAATATAATTACGCTTGAAAAATCTGCAAAAAAAAAAACTTTTTTTTCTGAAGTTTAAAAGCCAATATAGTATTTTCCTCTTTAGATACGATTTCGAAATAAGATGTTAACAAGAAAGAATCCTCAATAGCCGCTGCACCTGAAATTCTTTTAGGTAGTACTAGAGTAAATTAATCTATGCGACTTTGGGCATGGTCACATACATCAATTGAAAGTGTTTGACCTCCTGAGTCCAAAACTGTGATTGGATCTCAAATTGGTCAACAGATGACGAGGCTATGAGTAAAAATATTATATGAACAGAAAATATAATGGGTCAAATCTTAGTGACGGCGACTAGAGAAGACTTAATCTTTGTGACTATGAGATGGCTGAATCTAGATGACTAGAAGATATCATGATATTGGTGTCTTGGAGATTATTGAATCTTGGTTGCTAGGAGATGGCTGAATTTCAATGACTAAGAGATTACTTGAATTTTGGTGACTAGAAGATGGCTTGAATTTTGGTCAAAGAAATCACTACATCTTGGTGACCAAGCGTTAACTAAATCTTGGCGACTATGAGAATACTGAATGTTGGTAACTAAAGGCTATGTGAATTTTAGTGACTAGGAGATAAGTCTAGATATAGTTTCATGAAAGTACCGAACCTTTGTAACCAGGAAATGACTAAATCTTGGGTATTAGGAGATTACTGAATCTTTATGACTGGGAGGTGACTGAATATTAGTGACTAGGAAATGACCGAATCTTGGTAATTAGGATATGATTAAATCTTGATGATTATAGGAGATGACTGAATCAGGGTGACTAGGAAACGACTTTCATGTCATTTTTAATAAAACAAAGTAAATAAAAATTGCACATGTTCGTGTTTTTTAAACGTCAAACGTTTTTCGATAACAGTCTTTTCATTTAGTTATTCTTATTCATGTTCATTATTCGTAACCAACCCAATTCTTTGGTGGGTTTCTTTCTGGATAACTGCCACCAGACGATGCTTGGATTAAAATCATGTTTAAATATTTTAGAATTATGGCGAATTTTGTTTATCCACCTACTAATACAGGCATTTTAAAACCACATAACACTATCAGGTACTACTTTCATATATAGTTTAAACCACATAACACTATCAGGTACTACTTTCATATATAGTTTAAACTACATGACACTATCAGGTACTACTTTCATATGTAGTTTAAACCACATAACACTATCAGGTACTACTTTCATATATAGTTTAAACTACATGACACTATCAGGTACTACTTTCATATGTAGTTTAAACCACATAACACTATCAGGTTCTACTTTCATATGTAGTTTACAAATAAATCATTTATTTAGTTCAGCCAAAATCCAACTTTCGCACACCCACAAACAACAATGAAGTTTTGTAATACACTGAATATAAAAAAAAACTACTTTTCCTTCTACGTAACTGTTATCAGGTTGTCGGATATGAAATATGTAAACCAAAAAAACCAACTACACTCAAATTCGCTAGTGATCACTCTTAATATCGAACATTTTAAAAACTGATAACCTATATTTTATGTCAAAACATACTGATACAACCGTTACTTTTATAGGGGCCTAGATAGGTATTTTCAAGCAACAAACCATTATGGTATTGGTGTTTGTACTGAGTATGGGATTCTTACATCTCGAAAAACGTTTGTGTTCGCCGACGCACTCACAGCGAATCACTCTGTATTGATCACATGACCTTGCTTTGTCTGCAGTACACAGTGCAGTAGGTAATAAGAAGTGTTAAACGAGCTTCCCAGGGCCAGTCAATTTATCAGTATGTCACAGTTGATTAACCTCTATATTAATGTAGAAAGCGTGCTTGCGGATCATATTCTATGTTAGCAATCTTTTTTTTTCTTTTTTCATTTAATGAGAAGGAAATAACGTTCACGAAGCAACTAGACTATGGAAAGACAACTCATACAATTGGTAAACAAGCGGACACTGTAAAGCGGATCTCTTTGGTTTGCCCACACAGATACATAAATCAGCCACGTATTATTTGTAACGTTTCAGTGTGCCCTAAAATTATTTCGACTATACATCCTCTCAGATCCTCAAAAGCGTTTACATCCTTAGCTGTTAAAAACAATTTATCAAGCTTTTCCAAAATCAGTTTTAATTAACCTGTTAAATATAAGTATAACGTTCTTCTGTGTAAAACAAATTTTACATCGGTTAATGTATTCCCACGACTCTCTCTTTCTCTTTACCAAAAATGACACCAGGGAACATTGATAATTTTTGTTTTCCATCGAATATGTTACTAATGGATCCGTACAATGTTGTAAAGGTGGGGAACAAGTGATGTCATTGGGTTCGTCTTTCACCTGGTTAGTGATGTAGTGAACTTCGTTCATTGTGTCTTTCAGGTTGTGTAACCGCAGATGAAACTTTGACAGATAGCCGAGTAGAAGCGTAATTTTACTCTAGGTTAGGTAACTAAACATCTAGGAACTGGTATTGAGTCTTAATTTTTTCTGAGAAATGTCCTATCTCTGTTTGTTTGTTTTTGTTGTTTGTTTGTCTGTTTAGTTTACTTTTTCTGCAAACTCAACATTTTTAGAACACCATGCCTGCGCCATAAAACAGTAATAATCAACAAATAATTTTGAAACACGAGCTAACATTGTTTTAGCTTATTTATACTAAACTGTTGATCGTATTGTATATAACAATATGCAACTTATCTTTATTAAGTTTGATAACTTGGCAACTTACCTATAGTAGTGATAACTGTGAGAGAATATAAGAAAGCTCCAGAGAAGGACCACTGCTGAACCGCCCCTAACTCCTTCCCGTCATACCCGTCCTTAACAGCCGCTATCAAGTCTGACTGAAACCGTTTAATTTCTGCAGCTACGAGATGAGTCCAGTTGTCTTTATAGAGCACATTCAAGTCATAAGTGATGTCCCACAGCCGCCTCACAGTCTTCTGCCTCATATCTGTCACTTCCCCCGCCTTTTCTTCCTCGTAGGGAGCTTCCAGCGCCCGGAACGCGAAAGCGCCCATGATGGTGTAGCCGACCACCAGGCCACATAAACCGACATGCGAAAACATGAAGGCCGTGAACTTGCGGCAGCACGTCTTGCATTTGTTGACCGGCGGACGTTTCTTACCGGAGTAGCGGGAACCACTGCGTTTGGTGGAACGCTTCCGCTCTAAAGCCATAGTCTACCGCCACCGAGTGACCAGTGGCCGAGCCGGGCCAACCTTCACAGGTAGCCAGGCTCGGCTCAATATTTGCTGTTCCTATACGGTTGTGCCTACGATGAGAGCACCTATGACAAAGAATTCCTTCTATTAGCGTAAAGCTTTTACCAAATCATAGGTATTTAGTAGAAAACCAGATACCATGCTCAGCTAATTCTTTGAAGAAAAAATAGTTTTCATGAAGATTTTCCAAAATGTCCGTGTGAGGTAGTTGCACAAAGAAAGAGAAACCGAACTTTCTTGTATTCGTCAAAACCATTGTGAAAACACAAAAATACAAAATTCGTGTTCTTAGGGTTTTCTTGCAGATACAAAATGACCTCTTTTTTTAATTCAAACAGCCATCTTCAACGGAGGTTTAACATGCTGCGATAGACCCTGCAAGGCTTATCTTTTCTTAGATCTGTTGCTTTGAAATAAATATTTGGAGCAGCATCTGTCTGAGGTGACCTCTAACAGAAAAAATAAAAGAGAGCAATGAGTGACACATCGTAGAGAGTGACTATTATGTAGCATTAAGACTACCTGTAAAACTTCCACAAAATATGCCGGTGAAAACACTCTTCAGCTTCTTTACGCTGACTGACACGGATACTCAGCGCTCTTGCTCTGCGTGTGGAAGCATACATCAAGAAAAATTCCTTTATACAACAGCGCTCTCTTTTGGACGTCAGCGAAGGTCGAAACTGTCTGACTACACTGAGTAATGAAAGAGTAGAAGTCTCAGAATTCTAGAGCATAAAAAAAATAAAAAAATGCGAGTCTCAGTATTACACTGACGGTTTTTACCTAAGTGGCCTAGCGTGGCCAATTAGGGTGTTCTACTATGGATCCAAGGGTTCATGGCTCGCATCTCTTTATCGCAAAAACAAAGAAAGATAAAAATCGCGTTAGAGTTGGGGTGCTTTATGAGAGTAACGGTTAAATTCCGCTATTACATTAGGGTAACCCGAGTGTTGAGAGTAAGTACTGTTGACTAGCTGCCTTCACTCTATTTTATCATCCGCTATTACATTAGGGTAACCCGAATGTTGAGAGTAAGTACTGTTGACTAGCTGCCTTCACTCTAGTTTATCAGTTCGAAATTAGGAACGGCTAAAGCATGTAGGCTTTTTGTAGCTTTGCACGAATATCTGAAACAAAACAAACCTATCAAAGTGCTTTTAGTTTTAAAAAAAGAAAATTCAAAACTTAAAATGGCGCTAAGTAATGAATGTTAGTACAATATACATATTACTAAAAGCGACTATTTGTTTGTCGTTTTCCTAATACGCTGCATTAATTCTCTCTTGAAAATTATATATGAAAGTAAATTTTTGCCAGTGATTTTATTGGATATAATTGCCTTATTTAATTATCTTACAAGTTGTTTTTTCATCCAATTATAAGTCATCTTATAAGATTATGCTAGAAAAAAAAAGGATTGCATTGATATATATATATATATATATATATGTCGAAAAATGTTTCCAAATTTATTTCATTAGCCCCCAGTGGCACAGCGGTATGTCTGCGGACTTACAATGCTAGAATCCGGGTTTCGATACCCGTGGTGGTCAGATCACAGATAGCCGATTGTGTAGCTTTGTGCATAACTACAAACAAACAGTTTATTTCATCTTGGTCCTAATATTTCTTCCCAAGGGAAGTGAATGCGGTTTAGTGGTTAGCGTGCCGGACCGAGATTCCACTGTTTCCATTCCATTACCGTAAAAATATAATTACAAAAAAATTAAAAAGAGTGACGATCATATTCCACTATTCAGTCTAACAACAGAAGCTCAAGAGTAGGAGGTGGGTGATGTTGACAAACTACCTTCACTTTGTCTATCATTTAAAAAGTCCTCTGGTGGCTCAGTGATAAGTTTACGTGCTTACCTACAATCCGGGGTTCAGTTCCCTGCGATGAATAGAGCATAGATAACCCATTGTGTGGATTTACGCTGAAACAAATAAACAAGTCATATGAAAATTGGGGACGGCTGGCGCAGACAGTCCTCGTATGGTTTTGTGCGAAATCTAACAACAAAATCTTTAAAAACCAGTAGTTTTAGTTATTCTTGAACATCCAGAATTACAGACCTATTTCTGTTTTATATATACATACTGGACATCCAGAATTACAGACCTATTTCCGTTTTATATATACATACTGAACATCCAGAATTACAGAACTATTTCTGTTTTATATATAATATACATTACTGACGTCAGTTATATATCCTCCATAATTAACTGCGCTTTCCTTTTCAAGGAAAGCCGGAAATACAACGATGAAACTGCAATTTAACGGATTATATGATGTATGGTTATTATGCGTTTTACCACAGCTACATGTGTTGTTGTTTTTTTTTTGTGTGTTTTTTTTTCTGACTCAGTTCTACGATATTAGTCTATTTCACGAAAATCTAATCTGAACGATATAATTACGTTTCTCGTCATCAAGTTGTAATTAGCTATTTTACCCTCGAGTAACTGAAGAAAGTATTACGTGTTCGTTTGGTTAGTTGTATAAGAAAAAATATTCAAGATGTTTAGTCCCCAAAGCATGAAAAAGAGCATAATACTTTTTCTTCTTTCAGTATTTAAAGGATTCTGTGTGAAGTCAGTTGTAATTGTGAAACCATAAACCATTATTAAAAATTACAAAAAGGACAATCAAATTCTTTGTGAAATTATATTCTGAAGAGTGATCTTTTGAAGTCACGAAACCCGTCGAAGAAATTAATAAAGGAGAAAAAAAAGAAAAGTTTAATGTTATGGTTTTTTGTTACAAGAAATATATATATATATATTTTGTTAAACAAGACCGATGTCTGTAGGTTTACTTTCTTCTTAGATTCTTCTCAAGAAGTCGATAAGCCGTCTTAACGTTGTTAGAACAACGGGTAAAAGTTGCAGCTAGTGATG